TCCATTGTCCCGTCTGCAGCCAAGCCTGGCTTCCCAGTGAGTCACCAATTCAGGCTGCCTCCAAGGGCATGGTGGTCATCCTCAGCATCAGGTTCCTGCAAACTCAGCTCCCATCTGGTCCGTGCAGGTGAGCTTTGATTCAAGGCCTGTGGGGGTTCCCCAGACTCTGTGGAACCTAGAGGATGCCCTTTCTCAAGGCCCGGCGGGGAGGAATCCATTCTCTCTGCAATCTCTGGAGAGATTTATGCTGCTTGGTGGACCGGCATGCATGATTACATTTCCTTCTCTCTCATTAATCATCCCTGGGCTCATTCCTCCTGACAGCCAGGAGCCGCAGCCCGCAAGCCAGAGATCTCCAGTCTCGCTGCTGAGAACCTGGCGAAGAGGCTGGTGGCTTATCTGTGGAGGAGGCCTTCACGCTGCCCTGAAGAAAGGGCAGTGAGCTGCATCCCTACCCAAACCTCTGTCCTCTCCAGGAAGGGGCCCCTGCCTCCCCGGAAGCCAGGCACAGAGGGGCTTGCTCTGCACAGGGGGAAGGGACCCCCGGCACTGGCTGGCTCCAAAGTCATGCTGGGATGGTGGTCATCACTTTCTTCTTGTTCACTTCATAACTGTTTATTGAGAATTTACAATAAGCTGGTGCTGTGCCAAGCACTTTACTTTTATTGCCTTAGTGAATTGTCTCAAAGTCCTTTGACAGACACACAGCCTTCCGTCCTGCCTTCTGCTGCCTTCCGCTGTGGGGCATGGGATCCACCCTTCAACCCTGCTTTTGATCAGCTTTAGGGAGATGTCATTCGAATGCCATGCAATGCATCCATTTCAAGTGTCCAATTCAATGGCTTTTACTATATTCACACATATGCACAACCACTCACCATCTCAATCAATTCTAGAACATTCTTATCACTGTGGAAAGAAACCTCTGCATCCTTCAGCCATCCTCCCATTCTCCAGCCCTAAATGGCCCTGTCTCTTGGTGCATATTCAGTTAACAGACAGTAATTGCCTACATGCCAGCCCATGGCCCCAGCCTTTCCTGTTTGCTGCACCCCAAGTCTCTGCAGCCTCTGAGGCTCCTTGCTGGTGTGCTGGTGAACCTGGGGTGGGGTGTGTGGCTCAGCCTGCAGAGTCACCCCAGCTGGGATTCTGGCAGAAGGAGGAGAGTGGGATGGGGAAGTGGTCTTAGAGGCCTAGTGGAAGATGACAGTGGGGGGTGGCAGAGGAGTCACCAGGGATTATGACTCAGGGCAGTGAGTAGAAAGGAAAGGACAGGGAGCCCGAGGTATGCAACATACACTGTGTTGACACAGGAGTTGGGGCCGAGTGAGGAGGGGACATGAGGCAGGTGCTTGGGGTGGAGAAATGGCACCTGCAGAGATGTGGAGGGAAGAACACAGGGTCCCTGTGGAGCTTCAGCAAACTTGGCCTGAAGCTGCAGAGGACCAGTGGGGTGAGGAGGTAGGGGGAAGGACAGGCAGGAGACAGGCCAGCAGATGAGGGCACATAGGCTCCCAGGGGAAGGGACTTGCCTGGATCCAGACCACCCAGGCTCTGGCCTTACCCTCCCCTGGGTGTAGACCCCTGGAAAGCAGAGATGTTTCAGAGGTCTCCATGTTCCCAGCTCCCAGGCCGCCAACCGAGGAACTCAAAGAGGAGGAGCTGGCCTGCTGCAGAGTACCATGATGGCGCCTGGGACCCTCTGGAGGCCTGATGGCAGTGACCACCGGACACAGCCTCTCCAGCACTTGGTGAGGCAGACATCAAAGCCTATGCCACAGGCTGGGTCTGGCTGCCTGAAGTAGGAGATCCAGGTGCATTTGCTGCTGGTGTGTTGCACTGTGAGGCATTTTTGAGGGTACTGGTGCCATAGGGACAACATAGCTGGCTTTTTCAAATGCCACTATTTTAATACCATCCTTGCCCATCATTTGGGAGGTGAGATATGAGCCCCAAATCACAGACTCACAGGACATCACAGAAGACACCCCACACGGCAACAGCTCCATGTTTTCTCCACATGAATGCACTGTTTTGTGTGTGACCTTTTTGCCTCCTCTGGTAGAGACCAATCAGTGGCTCATCAAGCCAGTGACCTCTTTTTTGTCCCCTAGAAATACAGCTGGACTTTGTTTCCCAGCCTCCCTTGCAATTCGCTGTGGTCATGTGACTGAGTCTAACCAATGGCCCAGGAAAATCTCCCTTCCAAGATTTTCTCTTCTTTCCCTATTTTCCAGCGAAATTCAGAAGAATCTGAGGTCCTGGAAGACCACTAGACAGAATTCCCACCTGGAGGAGAGCTGCCTGTTAAGTCAGGAACATTGGTTTAGACTTTACATCATGGAGTTATAAATATTTATTGTGCTAAGCCACTTTTATTTGGGGGGTTATTTGTTACAGCACCTAGCATTACCCTAATACGCCTCTCTATTTGAAAGATTTTGTCTACTAGAAACCATAATTATTTTTTCAAAATGAATTCTTTTTTCCATTGTATCAGTTAAAGACATCTGTAACTTCAATGTAAATAGGCATTTTTTGGAATAGCTAGAAAGACTTTATAATAGCTTTCACAACTGTCTTCATCAAGTCTTAAGGTTTGGGGCACCCAAGATGGGAATGGCTGGTCCGAGAGATTATAGAAAGTGGAAATCCAGACCCAGGAGGGGTGTGTGATTTGCCTGGGATCACACACCTGTGTGGCTGAGTCAGGGCCACATTCTGTTGGGCTCAGGTAGAGGTGGGCTGTGTCTCAGTCTGCTTGGGCTGTCATAACAAAATACACAGACCGGGTGGCTTCAACAACAGATGTTTATTTCTCATAGTTTTGGAGGCTGTGCCAGCATGGTTGGGTTTGGTGATGGTGCTCTTCCTGGCTTGCAGAGGGCTGCCGCCTTGCTGGGTCTTCATGTGGCAGAGAGAAGGCTCCCTGGTGTCTCTTATATGGACACAAAGTCCAGCATGAGGGTCCCTTCCTCATGACCTCATCTAAACTGAATCACCTCCCAAATTCTATTACATTGTGGGTGAGGGCTTCACCATATGAACTGGGGAGTCACCAATCAGTCATTAGCAGATTGTGTCTGCATTCTCTCAAACTACTGGTTTTTTTCCTTCTCTATTTTTGTCCAGAAGTTTTTGCTACAAGGAATAGCTTTCAACTTTGAAATAATGACTCAACAATGTATATCTCAGTCTCTCGTGTCATGAGCCGTTTCCCAACATTATTTTCCACGTCTACATCATGTTCTGTTTTAATACACATTTCAGAATTTACACAGCCAGTCTCTTACTGTTCGACTTTAGTTTCTCTGTTTTTGAAAAGCAACAGGGCTTCTGGGGAGCATTTTGCATTTTGGAGTCCTTCAGCTTTATTTCCTATCAGCGTGCTTTTGCAGAAACTGCTTCCTGTTGAATAAATTTTCTAAGGTTTTGGCAAGCCCCTGATCTTGGTCTCTAAAGTTAGATGCTGTGTTTGACGAGCATGAAAGCAATATTAGAGAGAGAGAGAGAGAAGGTCTCAGCCAGGGCAGAGGAAGTCTGTCCTACCCTCCCCACCCTCCCAGCCACCCCCGGGGTGACCCAAAGAAAGAATGGCCTGGAACCCTGCAGGGTATGACAGCACCCCGGTAACCCCTGAATGGGGTTACCAGGAAGTGACCAGAATTCCTTTCAGTGACGAGGAATATTCAAGACCAGTCCATTGGTGACTTCCCATGCCATGACTTGAAGCTTGAAAATAATTTGATTTTCTTAGCTTAAAAATCAGTTACAAAGGTAAAAAGACACTCACTGTTCTCTTAAAACATTTAGAATTTACCACCTCTACTTTTAGTTACTTTCTCCTTCCCCAAAATTGAGAGAATGCTAATGTCATATTGTGGTAGCTAATTATCTCTCTTTCTGTCACATACACACTCTCATAGGTATGTATATATATTTTACACATGTGGACATATATATATCCATAGGAAATAATTGATGGTTTGTAAGTGTGTTTATATAAATCGTATCACACTGTATCAATCTAAAATTTACATTTTTTTCAGAAGCTATTTGTGTTACTGTGGACAGATCTAACTTGTTCTTCTTAACGCCTTCAGCATGCATCATCTGGATAGCTTTAGAAATCTGTTAGAATGCACATGGGTCCCCAGGGGGAAGGCCTTAGAAATCAAAGTGGGGTGATCTCCCCGTTTTTCTGAATTGTCCTCTATTTGGGGCCAGAGATACCTGAACACCACTGGGATTTGAAGGTGCAAAAGCTCAACAAGGCTCAGCAGAACGTGCAGGACAGGACCCATCCCAGGCGACAGAGAGGAGTGTCTGGATAAGTCTCAATGCACTCAAAATAACACAAATCTTAAGCAGCCACAGGAGTGAGGACCACCAGTTACTGAAGAACCACCATGCAGAGCACAGCCTCATTCAGAGTCTCATCACCAGTTTTTGCATGGGAATACTGTGTTCCTATTTCAAAGATAAGGAGGCAGAGAACACAAACGTGGTCAATAGCTATTGGTCCAACATTACAGTTACTGCATGGTGGAGCTGGGACTCACCCAAGTTCCTTCTGCTTTCAAACCCCAGGGTGTGAGAGTAGGGCAGCAGTGGTCTGCTGGTTGTCACCTTTTATTTTTAAATTCCATGGAGCACAAAGGAGTGGCAGGGCAGAGGGTGGCATCATAACACACTGAGATCAGCTGTGGCAGTGAACAATGACCTGGGTGCTGCTCAGGGCTGGGATTGTCTCAGCCAGTGTGCTGGTTGAGAGAACTCCCTCCTCCTCCATTAGAACCTGGCAGTTCCAGTTCCCCAGACTCAGTCCCAAAGCCTCCACCAGTTAGAACATCCCATGAGGTACAAGGGGAGTACAAGACACGTCCCCACTGAGAAAATTCAGGAGTTCAGACACCATTGACTTTTATGTTCCTAAATCAGAGGCCTTCAAGGTTAGGCCTACTATAAAATCACTCTCTCTCATTTGCATTCCAGATTGTCTGCTCGAGTGGGAGATACGGAGCCAAAGCCACAGCTTGCCATGTGAAAATAACACGTAACCACCCATGCACCTGCACGGGCTGCTCTCGGGGGTCGGAATGGAAAACTTGACCATAGTCTACAGGCTCTGGAGTTCATAGGAAGAACCTTCTGCACTCCTTCTGGTCTTACTGCCCAAGTCGAGCCTAGAGGCCCTTACCAGAGTCACCAGCTTTCTGTTGCTCTGCCACGTTGGCCAGCACGTTTTACATTTGACTCCTCAATGCCTACTGCTAGGGAGAATCCACCTGGAATTCAGATTTTTCCTTCTAAATGCCAGAAGATCTGATCATGCCAAGCCCAGATTCCATCCTGGCAATGACCAGAGCCCATGTTCTCTGTGGGCAAGTAAGTCCCTGAGAGTCTCCGTTTCTTTCTCCCCAAGGCAGGAGGCCAAGTGTCACTCACGCTTTATCTTCTCCCACCTGGCCTGCTTCCCTCGCTGGAATAAGAGTTGATGTGTTGATATATAAATGTATGCAGTATGTCATCACCTGCCACCCTGGAAGACCTTGGGTTGGAGTCTGATCCTTCCTGTGAAGTGTTTGTGGTGGACATTCAGCCACAGAGCTCCTACTGGCAAGATGGGGCCTCGGTGCAAAAGACAGAAGGGCCCCCAGGGGGTAGCAGACAGTTCACAGGTGCCCCCCACCCGGGGCAATGAATTCCCCAGGCTGTGCTGGGCTCAGCCTCATTCTCCTTGGCAGTCCCTGTTTGTGTTACCACGGATGAGCCCAGGAGCCCGACAGCAAGGACATCACCCACCGTTATTTGGCTCATCCAATTCGATGCACGTGGAACCTGGGCACCTGCCAGCAGTGACACATGCCTGAGGTCCCCCTGCAGGCCAGGTTTCCTGCCAGCGCCGGGAGCCTGGAGTGGGTGTCGGCTAGGGTTTCCTCTGTCCTTGTTCCTACCCCCGGCTCCCAGACCATCCATCAGCCCACAGCTCACCTGTGAAACCCAAGGCTGGGAACTGCGGCGCTATTCTGTTACAAAATCAAGATTTATCGGAACATGACAGGCCTGGAGGGTTTTATGACATGCATGGCGCCAGTCCCTCCTCCTGACCTATTTGTCCCCGGTGGGGCAGGGCATTTTCTGACTGCCGACACCACTCCATCTGCTCCTGGATTCCCAGCATTTTGACAGTCAGGACAAAATGTCCAGCCTGGGCCAGGCCCCTTGGGCTGGATTATCACTTCGGCAGTGAGCGCTTGGCCCCTTCCCCTTGGAAAAAGACCTCAAGCCCTGCTCCCCCCAACCCTGGCTCGGCCTGGTGTGAATGAAATTCAAATCGAGCTCTGACAGCCCCATGAATTGTCTGTTTTCCAACCTGCCTCCCGCTCTTTCATCTTCACGGCAGAAACAGTGAAATAATCCGTTCCCATCTCTACAAAGGCCCCACCACACCCCAATTGCCTGTGTCTCAAGAGAAACGTGGTGTGGGGACCATTTGGAGCCTCTTTAAAAACAACGTCACCACATCCTGAGACCGCCTGGGAATTGCCGTCCAGCAAGGTAGGGAGGGACTCGGGGGGTGACAAGGACACTGGGCCAGCTCTTCTAATGATTTAAAGAGTTAAGTCGTGTTTACATGAAATGGAACCCATCAGGAAGTTGGAAGCTCTCGGCCTCACTGTGAGCTCTGCCTAGTCCAATGCTGTTCCCCCGCTGCGTGTCCACCCTGGGCAGGGTTGCTTTCTGTTTATTCAGTGTGCTCCCTTCTTTCTCAGCCTGACTCCTGGCTCTCGGATGGCGGAGCTGAGAGATGTTTGATGTTCAGAAAAGGAGGCTGAAAAGGGCTTTTCTTGGGTGGGTAGAAGAGGCAGCACCCCTGAAGGTTGCTTCTGGCTGAGAAGCGTCGCAGCCAGAGGGTGATGCCGGCCGCTGTGTGCTGAGACCAGGGTGGGGAGTGTGTGGGGGGCGAGGAATAATGCCAGCCATTGATATTCCTGGCAGCTCACGGTGCCGTGGCCTGGGCTCATCATTTTCGGAAGCCAGTGCAGGGGGGACTGTGTCATTCTGGTTTTGCTGATGAGGCTGCTGTGCCACTGACTCACTCAGTGTAAAAAAGATGGCCTGCAGCAGGGCTGGGGAGGGAATCCAGCTGATGCCAACCTTGTTCCCAGGAGGAAATAGCTCTGGCCTGCTGATGACAAGATAGTCTTCAATTGCCCTGGTATCATTCGATTGTCGCGTCTGTACGTTGGGTTTATGAAATTTACCTCACAGGGTTTTCAGTCTCAAATTGGAGTTGACATATTGATAAATATATTCGGTATGCAGTGGGCACTCAATAGTTGTTCACGCACTCCCGTTGGTTGTGAGCCTTGTAGTCAAAGGAACTGGGCTAGAATCCCTGGTTCTGCCCCTAACAGTTCAATCACCTCTGGCAAGTCCAGCCAACCCCTGAACTTCACGTCACCCCTGTGAGTCTTGGGGTCACACCTGCCCAATCGGGAGAGAGTCACAGCACCCACCTCACGTTCACGAGGGCTCTCACAAGACGCTGCAGGTAACGTGCTTGGTGAGATGTGCAGTAAGGAGCAGCTAGATGTTTGCCCCATGGGGAGAGCCAACAGGGGGTCGTCATTGCTGCCATTTCCCAGGTCTCTAACTGCACCTCTGGAGAGCCCAGGGGCCAGGTGAGCCAGAGGCCAGATCTTAGGCCTTACCTGGGTGTGGGCTGTTCCCTTCCTGTATGTGCAGATGCTTCCGTGGGCCCAATCACACTATGGCTGTAGTCTGTGGCCTGTGGGCCCCTGTGAGCTGCGGCAGCCTTTGCTGGCCTGCATGGCCTGCATACTTGTGTTTGGAAATGAGAAGTAAAAAAAGCTCGCCCAGCCAGCCTGGCATGATTTCATCCCCAGTACACCCTGAAGCCCCCACCAGGAGACCGGCAGGATGCCAGGGTCTGTAGAAGTTCACAAAGCTGAACTGGCTGTGACCTGAGCTTGGACTCCAAGGGTATGCCAGGCTGGCTCCTTCTAAATGGGAAGCTCTTCACCAGGCCCTGCAACCCCGAGGAGACAGCAGAGCTCCGTGGTGCGGCTGACATCACCTCCATGGGCCCCAAGATGAGAAGGGTGTGTAGAAAGACTCGCATGGAGGTCATAGCAGCTTGAATGGAGCACAACTGCACGCCTCCCCATCCCGCACTGAGGCCACCTGCGCTTCTGCCCATTCTACACTGAGCTCCACCTCGCCCCTGCCCGTCCCTCAATGTGCAGTAAGGAGCCGCTAGATGTTTGCCCCATGGGGAGAGCCAACAGAGGGTTGTCATTGCTGAGGGGCGCCACCTAGGCGCCTGCCCATCCGACAGTGAGCACCACCTGCGTGCCTGCCTTTCACTCAGTGAGCACCACCTGCATGCCTGCCTGCCTGTCCTCTAGGCTGTTCAGTGACCACCCACACCTGGATGTGGGCAGTGCTGCTGAAAGGCCATAGAGTCATGGGCATAGCCGCTCTGGAGGACAGTCCAAAAGTTTCCCACAAAACTGAGCATGCTCTTGGTGCCCGCTCCAGCAGTCATGATCCTTGGTATTTACCCAAAGGAGTTGTAAACCTCTGTCCACACAAAAACCTGCATGCAGATGTATCAGTTTTATTCTAATTTTCAAAACCCAGAGGCAACCCAGATATCCTTCAGCACCAAACGGATAAATACACAGTGGGAGGTGGCTGTGGAATATTATTCAGCAACAAAAGGAAATGAGCTGCCAGGCCTTGGGAGGACACAGAGAAGCCTTAAATGCCCATTGCTCAGTGAAAGAAGCCCATCGGAAAAGGCCACAGGCCGTTGGATCATCTAGATGACATTCTGAAAAAGGCAAAGCTGTGGAGATAGTGAAAGCATTTGTGGCTTCCAGGGGTGAGGGAGAGAGAGATAAGTAGGTCAAGGGCATTTTTAGGGCAGAGAAACTTGGGGTATGATAGTGGAATTGTGGGGTCAGGTCATTATGCAATTGTCCAAACTCATAGAATGTCCAATGCCAAGAGTGAGCTACTATGGACTTAATGATTATCCATCAATATTGGTTCATTGTAACAAATGTATCACATGATGTTACTAGTAGTGGAAACTCTGTGTGCAGGAGAGAATGGAAACTCTGTACTTTCTGCTCAATTTCTGTAAGCCCAAAACTACTCTAAAAATTCCATGAATTTAAAAAATCAGAAGGACACAAACAGTATGTGAACCCTGGAGCCAGACCTTCCCAGTGCGAGCCCCGCCTTCACCACCAAGGTGGTCAGTTTTATGTGTCAACTTCAGTTCCTGGTTATTCAGTCCCACACCTCTGGGTGCTGCTGGTGGGGAGGTGGTTTTGCAGATGTGATGAAAGTGCATGATCAGTTGCCCCTCAGCAAGGGAGACTGTTTTAGATGACCTGGGTGGGCCTGGGTGGGTCAGCTGGGAGGCCTTGAGAGCCAGGCTGAGGCTTTGCTTTCCTGAGGAAGAAGAAACCCCACCTGTGGGCAGCAGCTCCCCTGCCCGCCCCTTGAAGTGAGCACCCTGCAGATGCTGGACCTGCCCAGCTGGCCCCACCACTGTGAAGCCCACCCTGGCAGTAAATCTCTTATGATGTGTCTTCCACCAGCTCTGCATCTCTGCTAGAAACCTAACTGATTTAGCCATGTAACAGCTGTGTGACCTAGGGCAAGTTATTTACCCTCAGTTACATTATCTGTAGAATGGGGTTAATAATAGTGCTTGCCTCTGTGCTCGCTAGGACTCTAATACAGTCCTTTAGATGGGGAAATACAGTTTCCACTACTGGTAACATCGTGTGGTACATTTGCTACAAGTGATGAACCAATATTGATGGATTAAGTCCATAGTCCTCTAGATGGGGACTGTATTTGTCCGTTCTCACACTGCTAATAAAGACATACCCGAGACTGGGTAATTTATAAAGAAAAGAGGTTTAATGGACTCACAGTTCCTCTTGAATTGTGAGGCTGGGGAGGCCTCACAATTATGGGAGAAGGTGAAGGAAGAGCAAAATCATGTCTTACATGGCGGCATGTAAGAGACTGTGTGCAGGGGAACTCCCCTTATAAAACCGTCAGATCTCGTGAGACTTATTCACTATCACAAGAACAGAACAGGAAAAACTTGCCCCATGATTCAGTTATCTCCCATCAGTTCCCTCCCTTGACACATGAGAATTATTGCCATTCAAGGTGAGATTTGGGTGGGAACAGAGCCAAACCATTTTGGAGATGAAGTGAGTTGGCACATGTCAGGCAGTGAGAATGACTGGCACGGAGTGGGTGTAACTATTGGGATTCCTGCTTTACCAAGGAAGAAACCGAGGCTAAGGAAGGGTCTGTAACTCGCGTCATGGCACAGAAGTGGCCGAGTCGGTGTGGGATGCGGATATCTGTTGTGGCACCTGCAGCCCTAATCATGCTCACACCCCCTCCACTAGCAGGCAATACCGATGTCATTCGTAGCCAGAAGGGTCTCAGATGACCTATATATTCAGTTCAAAGTCCCTGTCCTACAACAGAGGAAACCAAAGCTCAGGAAAGTGGTTGGCTCCTGAAATATTCAAAGCCTGGGACAGTAAGTCAGGGTCATTGGGCTTCACAGGGCCAGGCAGGGGATGAAGCCAGAGGAGCCAAACTGCGGCTGTGCATGGCGGGCTGTGCCTGGTCAGCTGCCCACCCGGCCCTGGGTGTGACCCCAGCACTCACGTCCTCGCAGCTGGTGCACCTTGTCTTCCCCAGGACACTGGGAGCTTCCCAGGGGCTTTTAATGGAGACAACGGAGGACCCAGCAGCTACCTCTCTGCTTGGAGCAGCAGATTTTTCACATTCCTCCTTGACTTGGCACAGCCGGGACGCTGTCCCTTAAAAAAATTAATAAATCTGGCATTTGAAAATAAAAAAAAAAAATCACAGGCTTCCTCTCCTGGACTCATTTCCTGTGGTGTTTCCCTGGCCTAATCGAAACCTGACAGGCTGCCGTGTGGAGGAAGCCAGACGCCCCTGCATCAGGGCAGAGTTCAGCGTGGAGAATGGTGTTTTTGTTCAGGGAAGCAGGAAGAGGTGACGGAGAGGGGGCTTCCCCCACTGAAATCTAAAAGCAAAGAGAAGGGCCAGGAGGCAAACGTTCTAGACGTAGCATTGGACTCCACCCCTGAGGCGGTGGATAATACTGGGGTGGCAGCACCCATAGATGGGCCACTTCCTGAGGGGTTCCTGTTCTCCTCCTCAGCTTGGAGGTACCATCAGAGCTCTTGAGGGAGAAGTGACTGTCCCCCACACACTCCTACCAGGGCAGACAGCAGCAAAGGAACAAGCTGATTCAAGAACCCCTCGTCACCCTCATGGGGCTGAATGGGAACAAGCTGACCATCAGCAAGGATGCCAATCTCAGCAAAGCCACCACAGGCATTCTGGAGGGGAGCAGCCATTTATGGAGGTCCATCCCTGCCCCCAAGAATGATGAAAATTGGCCAACACCTTGTTGACAGAATCATAGCTAATAGGTATCAAGCATTAACTGTGCA